GAGACTGGGTCTCGCTCTGTCACCCAGGCTGGAGTGTAGTGGCATAATCATAGCACACCGCAGCCTCATCCTCCTGGGCTCAAGTGATTCTCCTACCTCAGCCTACCAAGTAGCTGGGACTACAGGCATGTACCATCATGCCTGGCTAATTTTTTATTTATAGTAGAGATGGGGTCTCGCTATGTTGCCCAGGCTGGTCTCAAACTGCTGGGCTTAAGTGAGTCACCTGCCTCGGTCTCCTTAAGTGTTGGGGTTACAGGTGTGAGCCACAGCACCCGGCCTATATTCTAAAATTAATGTCATCTAAGAAAACCACAAAACATAAAAGTACCTAGAAATAAAATTAACAAAAGATATGTAAGACTCTAATTATAAAATATTATTAAAACCATTTCACAAGACTCAAATAAGCAGAGTTATTTAGAGGCAGAGGAAGACTCAATACTGTGAAAATGTCAACTTTCCCCAAATTGATCAAAGGTGTAGTGCATTACAAATCATTATCCCGGCTGGATTTCTACAGAACTTGATCGGTCAATTCTAAAATGTATATGAAGCCAAAGCCTAGGAACAGCTAAGACCTTTCTAGATAACAGGACCATGGTAGAGGAATGTGACTTACCAAGTATCAGACATTACTAGAATGCAGTCTTTAGGCGGTATGGTTTCAATAGACAAACAGACTGGCAGATTAGAAAGGAGAGCCCAGAATAGACCAACATATATATACGGAAACTTAATTTATGACAACTGTCACTGAAGTACAGAGAAAGAAGGACTCTGTAGTAAGGAAGTCTGGCCTTTGTCCTAGCTCTTGGGAAGTAACCTCTAAACACTTCGAATTTCCTGAGTGATAGGAATGTCTTTGTTATTTATGGTGGGCCCCTAAGACCATCTCTGTTAGTTTATGCTCATGAGATGACTAGGGCTTGGGGCTGGCCACACCTACCTCTACCATGTAATCGGTCTTGGGACTTTGAACCATGTGATATCAGCTTGACTTTCAGGCAAGGAGGGAGGACAGATGCTGGAAACTGAGTTCGTGCACATGGAAAATGATTCAATCAATGATGCTTATGTAATGAAGCTTCAGTAAAAACTGGGCACTGAAGCTTGAGTGAGCTTCTCTGGTTGACAATACTCTGGGTGTACTGCCAAACATCAATACTGGGAGGCTAATACAACCCAATGTATCCTTTCCCTGTTATAAACGTGACTGTGAATATAACAGCTTTCAGTGAGTTCTGTGAGTCTTTCTACTGCATGATTATACCTAAGGGTGGTGGTGGTGGAAACACCCGAATTTCTAGCTAGCTGGTCTGAAGTGAGAGTGGTCATGGGAACCCCTTAAGTTGTAGCTGGTGCCTGAGTGATGGCATCTTGTAGGGACTGTTCCCTCAGACCCTGCAGTTTGCCTAATCCTTTACAATAAATTGCCTTTTCAATAAATGATGTTTCAGATATTAGTTATCCAAATGGAAATACCATACCCTACAATTAATTCCAAGTGAACTGAAGACTTAAAAGGCAAAATAATATCATTTATAGAAAACAGGGAGAATATCTTTACTCTTAGGAGAGGAGAGATTTCATACACAAGATGTAAATAAATTAAAGAAAATAGCGTTAAATATGATGGCATTAAAATTGAGAATTTCTACCATCATTTAAAGGTTAAAGTAAGAAAGCATGCACAGCACATATAACTGACAAGGACAACAATCCACAATACTTAAGAAATGCACACAAAGCATTAAAAGGAACAAAAACTCTGGAAATATAAAAATCAATAGAAAAATCAGAAATGACATAAAATTGTACTTCAGAAAAGAGAAAACATGAACGCCAATAAGCATGAAAATGGTGGTGGGGGGGCTCAACCTCATTTAGTACCAAAATACGCAAATTTGAAATCAAAATAATATATATCAACTCATACCCAAGTGTGGAAAGATTTACAAGTTTAATAATACCAAGTGTTGGTGAGGACACGAAGTAAAAGGAATAGTAAATGAGTATAGTAAACACTTTAGAAAACAGATGGGCAATGTCTAGTAAGGCTGAAAATGCATATAACCTATGAGCTAGCAATTCCATTTCTAGTTACATATTTACAGAAATTCTTGCACAGGATACAATAAGAGGAGTTCAAGAATGTTCACAGGAGTAATGTACACAATATCAATGAAAAAATGTATTCATACAATGGCTGGCTATACAGTAGGATAAGTTTGCAAGGTGAATGAATCTCTTGAACACTTGTTGGAAGACAAGTAACAGAGTTACAGAAGAATCCAAACAGTATGATTTCTTGACATCAAATTAGAACAGGAAAATAAACACATATGGTTAAGACTGTAAAGAAAAACAAGGAAATGCAAAACACAAAATTCAGAATAACAGATATCTCTGACAGCTAAAGAAGGGGATTTGGATTGGGATGATCAAAGCACACATGGGATTTCTAACATTAGCATTCTACCTCTTAACATGGGTGTTCAGTCCCCCTTAATATGTTAAACATGTTCTACTATTCAATATTTAATAAAAGCAGGGTTTTTTTTTGTTTTTTTTTTTTTTTTGAGACGGAGTCTCGCTCTGTCACCCAGGCTGGAGTGCGGTGGCCGGATCTCTGCTCACTGCAAGCTCCGCCTCCCGGGTTTACGCCATTCTCCTGGCTCAGCCTCCCGAGTAGCTGGGACTACAGGTGCCCGCCACCTCGCCCGGCTAGTTTTTTGTACTTTTTAGTAGAGATGGGGTTTCACCGTGTTAGCCAGGATGGTCTCGATCTCCTGACCTCGTGATCCGCCCGTCTCGGCCTCCCAAAGTGCTGGGATTACAGGCTTGAGCCACCGCGCCCGGCCATAAAAGCAGTTTTAAAAAGACAGTTACAGGCCAGGCGCGGTGGCTTATGCCTGTAATCCTAGCACTTTGGGAGGCCAAAGTGGGCGGATCACCTGAGGTCGGGAGTTTGAGACCAGCCTGACCAACATGGAGAAACCCCGTCTCTACTAAAAAATACAAAATTAGCTGGGCGTGGTGGCACATGCCTGTAATCTCAGCTACTTGGGAGGCTGAGGCAGGAGAATCACTTCAACCCGGGAGGCGGAGGTTGAGGTGAGCCGAGATTGCACCATTGCACTCCAGCCTGGGCACCAAGAGCGAAAAAAAATACAGTTACAATATAGTATGATAAGGACTATAAGAGATACAGTAATTGAGACCAAGAGCAACCACAAGACTGACGCAGGCTTCATAGATGCTGGTTCTTGACCTAGGTTCCGTAGAACCTAGAGAAAGGTGTGGCAATGGATAAAAGCCCTTCTTGTGTTTCTTGTACAATGGAGGCATGAGATAGACTGTGCATTCTGGGAACTGCTAGTAGTTTAACATCACTAGGGTAAAGTCAGAAGGGAGTGGAGAGATGAGGCTGAAAAGAAGGATCAGATCCAGAGACATTTAGACTTGTTCTCACAGATGAAAAGAATTAACTGAGGGGTTTTTAAGCAGGATATGTTGCCTCCCATTAAAAGAATCTTGTTATAGGAAGTAAGAAAATAGTGACTTACTTAGGTTGAGGGGTGTGGGGAAAGTTTCACGTAACATGTAGAAAATTAACTGGGACTTAGAAAAGGAACAGAATTCCAACCAGCAGAAAACAGATTGAACAGCACTCCAAATAGAGAGAGCAGAAGATGGAGACCAATTGCATCCTGTGTTTCTGAGGAGCAGAAAGTTAACTGAGATAGCTGATGAGGGGTTCTGAGGGAGGAGTAGAGAGAAGTGATGTTGGAGAACTCCATAGGAGTCAGGACAGGAAATGTTTTGAATGGCAGGTTATACCTGCCAGGACTAAACACATCATCTTTGCTCACAACTTTACTCCAATGCTAGGCTTTGTGCTCTGCTAAATACAGAATGTGCTTTTTAATAAACACACAATGAATGTGAAAGAGCTGGAGATTTATCCTGAAAGTAACAGGCATTCACTGAACAAAATTTAAAAGGTGACATCACTGGACTATCTTAGTGGCAAAGAGTAAAAGTGGAGCCAGGGAGCCCAATTAGTTCAATGTAGCATCTACTCCCACAAGGCAAAAGACAGTGGAGTGAGGCCCTAGTGCATAAGCTCACAGAACAGGAAAAGAAAAGAAGCAATGACACTGGGCACTTCACTGGATGTTGGGGAGACCAGAAGGTAGGAGCTAGGGGACCCCAGGTCGCCAGTGTAAGTGCAGGTGAATTTCCAGTATCATCACATTCCCCAAACTGAAATTATGAGGAAGTCCATGGTCACAGAGCTAGCAAATGGCAGAAATGGGCTAAGATTCTACCCTTTCATCACAGTGCACAGCCTCCCATTAGCAGGGACAAAGGGCAATGAATATTTTCAGGAGAGAAGACACAGGGAGAAATAGACAGTGAAGGGTTGAAGGGCAAGGGGAACTGAAGCCTCCTCCCCGCCGGTGTGCAGGAAATGGATGGGGAGGGGTGGTGATCTTCTGATAATCTTAGGAAGATTTTGGCCTCTACAGGAATGGGAAGAGAAACTCAACAAATTCTTACAGAATTCTGAAGAAAAGTTAAAGAGAAAGAAACAGATTAATTCAGAACAGAAAATATGTTTCTTTAATCTTAGAGTGAAAGTAATTCTTGATGACTGGCCAGAATTAATGAAGTAAGTGCTACATCCAGACATATCCGGAAAAAAAAAAAAAAAAAAACCCTTAAATTTCACATCCTACAAATACCATGCCACTCTTTAAAATATGTTACTTCAAAGTCGCATAAAAAAATCTAAATAAAGAGCGCGGCGCGGGGCCGGCGGCGAAGGCCCAGGGTGGAATCGACTTCGCTGCGGCCGCCTCCGCAGACCCACCTTGGCCGCGCGGTAGGGGGCGCGCAGAGCCCCGAGGGAGCGAGTCCCCGTGCGTGGCGGCTAGGCGGCTTTCCTCCTTGAGAGGTCCGGCTCCCGGCTCTCCGGACCCGCCTGGCGTAGACAGCGGCTCCCAGGAATGGCTTCGGTGGGCAGCGGCATGGAGGAGGTGCGCCTGTCGGTACTGACCCCCTTGAAGCTGGTTGGGCTGGTGTGCATCTTTCTGGCGCTGTGTCTGGACCTGGGGGCGGTGCTGAGCCCGGCTTGGGTCACAGCTGACCACCAGTACTACCGTGTGTGGGAGTCCTGCCGGAAACCCGCCAGCTTGGACATCTGGCACTGCGAGTCCATGCTCAGCAGCGATTGGCAGATTGCTACTTTGGCTTTACTCCTGGGCGGTGCTGCCATCATTCTCATTGCATTCTTGGTGGGTTTGATTTCTATCTGCGTGGGGTCTTGAAGGCGCGTTTCTATAGACCTGTTGCGGTCATGCTTTTTGCAGCAGTTGTTTTACAGGTTTGCAGCCTGGTCCTTTACCCAATCAAGTTCATTGAAACTGTGAGCTTGAAAATGTACCATGAGTTCAACTGGGGTTATGGCCTGGCCTGGGGTGCAACTATATTTTCGTTTGGGGGTGCCATCCTTTATTGCCTGAACCCTAAGAACTATGAAGACTACTACTAGAACCAATAGTCTCAAAGTAAAAATAACCACCACCATCCAACAAAAGGATTACGTCTGCATCTTTTCTAACTTTCTATTTTCTAAAACACTTGTGGAGCATCAAGCAGTTTGCTCAGTTGATTTAATCTTTTTTGCCTTTTGGCTGTCAACATCATAACCAGCTTTTACATCCATTTTAGAAATCTGCACAAATTAAGAGAGCTGATTAGACAGGCAAATGCTGCAAACTTCCAATATGTTCATATCGTTTTTCTTGACAAATGAAGGGTCTGTATGACAGCAACCATTGTGAGAAACTAGTTGGAATGAGATTTGCCTCAGTCTCCTATTGCCTGCAAGGGAGCAGTTGGCATAAGCAACATTTAGAAGTTCCTTTGTGCTGACAAGGATTCCACTGTTAGAGCCCTTACTGCCTGCTTATCCTACCCAATGACTACATTGGCTGTTGGTTGTTTGCTTGAATGAGCCCTTGAAAAATGAACTGCCCTTCAGCATCTAATGGGAGTTGTGAATGTAACTGGTTAATGGTACACATTCCACCTTCAAGAATACTCTTTTTAATGGGAGGTTATGCTTTGGCAATCAGCATCTCCCTGGGAGGAGAGTCAAGACTTGGAGACATGTGCTTCTCATTATGTGGTTAGAAATTGGTGCCTCAGCCCTATCTAGACTGGGGAAAAATTGAGGATCTCTGTTTTTCCTGGGGCAAACAGAAAGAAATCTGCATGAGTTGCTTTTGTACCCTTTAAATCATTTGCCAAACATTGCAGCAAACAAGTGTGCATATGTAACAAGCTTCCATGTTTTTATAGAAGGTGAGCCATTAGTATAAATGGTAATTAGTTGTTCCTTAACCCTCCACATACATTGCCTATTACACATAAAATTAATATTTACTCTAGTGAAGTGGTTTGAACACTAACCTTGTATGCATTGTTAAGAGGCTTAGATTGTTCATACTTATTTACCATACAAAAGTATGGTACCTTAAAGCTTTTGCTCTATGTTCTTTACTGTTTCACTGGAAAGTGTTAATAGAGTTGCCTAAGAACAAAAATTGAAATGGTGTTAATCTGAAAATTAATGATTCTCTGTAAGCACTGTAGTTGAAAGAAGAATAGCAATTAGGATGATCATTTTGTGTAAAATTCGTTAAAATAGAAGGCTATTTTTTTTTGCAAGTATTTTAAATGTCTTCATTTTTTAAAAAAAGGAATAGCGATAGATTTATATAAATATCTAAATGTCTCAGTAGAGGAGTAGAATTCATCTGGTTATCACCTGGTCCTCTGAAGTTAATTGATGGGCTAACCGATTTGTGCACACACTTAGGGTGGATTTATGTTAAGGGAATTACTTACTGACTGTTCAATGGAAGGAAGTATTAATAATAGGGAATAAGTTTGCAACTAATCTCATGCTGCAAACTTGTGTTAATTCTGTTTCATATACAAATTTGGATAGCTTAATTATAAACATATTTTTATATCAAATATACAGTTCTAATATAAAAGTTATAAATAATTATTTTTGTTAACAAAGACACTAAAACAGTATGTTCTGGTTTTGGCCCTCTTGCAGAAAGAAACATTAGAAAAATTACTTAAAAAGTAGCTATGTGTTACTGTATTGCAAAATCTGTTAAGAGCAGGACCACATCGATAGTATTTAATAATTTGTTTTACCTCCCAAAGCACAGTTCTACTTTCAGCTAGTCTTAAGAATGGTTGCCAAAAACAACAGCCAAAAAAAAACCAAAAAAAACCTACTTTATTATCCAAATGCTAAAAAACACACTTATGACTTTTCTATAAAATCACAAATATGAAGTACCAGGTTTAGTCTTACTTTAGCAATGATAGACAAAAGCGAATAAATACATCATAGACAGAAACCTTTATAAAAATATACGATTCTGTAAAGAATCATTAGAAATTATGAGTGGAAATTTTCCAGAAAGATAATATTATAGAGTCTTTTGAAGCAAGTTTTTGAGAAATAGTAAAATGTGGGGCAGACTGTCTTGCAGTTAATTGCATATTGTCAGAGCAGCCTGAGAAATACAATATTTGGATAGGGATTTCAGCAACTAAACATTCTCTGTTCTGAGATCTCTTTATTCCTGAATAATGAAAGAATAGTAGTTTGGTGCTGACACTAATGAGTCACTTCTCTTGGTCCTACTAGAGGATGCAGTGTCCTGTTAAACCAGTATCACATCTTATTTATTTATTTATTTATTTATTTTTTGAGACGGAGTCTCGCTCTGTCCCCCTGGTTGGAGTGCAGTGGCGCGATCTCCGCTCGCGGCAAGCTCCGCCTCCCGGGTTCCCGCCATTCTCCTGCCTCAGCCTCCTGAGTAGCTGGGACTACAGGTGCCCGCCACCGCGCCCAGCTAATTTTTTTTTTTTTGTATTTCTAGTAAAGATGGGGTTTCACCGTGGTCTCGATCTCCTGACCTTGTGATCTGCCCGCCTCAGCCTCCCAAAGTGCTGGGATTACAGGTGTAAGCCACCGCGCCCGGCTAAACCAGTATCACATCTTGAGTCTTACCAAGTTTTCATTCTCTGTCAATATGACAAGCTCAAAGTGACAGGATATGTTATAGGTTGAGGCACACATATTTGCAGTTTACTGAAAACTAGATTTCTTATGTGACTTTTTTCCCTTCCCAGCAAAGAGCCCTATGCTATATTTCTACCATCACTGATATTTGGAAGTGTTTCATTACTAACAATCTCAGTACAACATGAAAATTGTTGCTTCTCATCTGAATTACAATTTTGTCTATCAGAATAAACACAAGTGAAATTTTCACCTACATTAACATCATGTCTTTGCAGCTTTAGGTTTGTTTGATGTGTTCTTAAGCAGAATTGTTAGCCACAAACCCACTGTTAGATATCTATGGATATAGAGCTATATCTATAGATATAGGTATACACACACATATATACTCACACATATAGCATAAAATACTCAGCAGGGCTAGTTATTCCAATTTCTTGCACAATTATTTAGCTTTTTGTAAGTTCAACATGTAAATTTTAAAGACATAAATATAGAGAGACTTATGTGTGTGAATATAAATGATATATATGGATTAGCATGTACCTGTATATTACTAAACATGCAATGAACTGACTGGTAAGTGACGTCTAATTGTATGGCTAGCAATGTAATGTATTCAGACTGTATTTTTGTACAGAGCAGCACACTCTAACCTATGCCTCTGTGTCCTCTTTAATGCCTAAAACTGTGCCTAGAAATTTCATCTGTCTTAAAAAATAAAATATACTTCATGCTGTTTATGCAAAAAAAAAAAAAAAAAATCTAAACACTCCAAATTTGGAATTTTATAGCCAACATTCTCTGGTCAGATTATCACAGGAGATACCTTGAAGACTAGATTGTTTGGATAAAAGACAAAGTATTTTAGGAAAATATAAAAGTAACTATTCTTTTTTTTTTTTTTTTTTTTTTTTTTTTTGCGACGGAGTCTCTCGCTCTGTTGCCCAAGCTGGAGTGCAGTGGCCGGATCTCAGCTCACTGCAAGCTCCGCCTCCTGGGTTTACGCCATTCTCCTGCCTCAGCCTCCTGAGTAACTGAGACTACAGGCGCCCGCCACCTCGCCCAGCTAATTTTTTGTATTTTTTAGTAGAGACGGGGTTTCACCGTATTAGCCAGGATGGTCTCGATCTCCTGACCTCGTGATCCACCCGTCTCGGCCTCCCAAAGTGCTGGGATTACTGGCTTGAGCCACCGTGCCTGGCCAAAAAGTAACTATTCTATTTTTGTGGTAAGACAGACCATCCGGCATAGCATAAAGGGAAAAAAATTTAAGAAAAGAGTTGATTTATCTGAATACATTTCTGAAAACTAGATGAATCTAAAAGCACACAAAATAGATTAACTGTGAAAAAATATTTCTAAAACAACTTATAAATGACAAAAAGAAAATATGCTGAACATATGAAATGCTTAAAATAAATTAAAAAAGATAGCATTCTTTGACAAGTGGGCAAAGGAAGTCAGTAGGTGATTTCGAAATCCCAGCTCTACCATTTTTTTTTTTTTTTTTTAGACGGAGTTTTGCTCTTGTTGCCCAGGCTGGAGTGCAATGGCACAATCTTGGCTCACCGCAACCTCCACCTCCCAGGTTCAACCGATTCTCCTGCCTCAGCCTCTGGAGTAGCTGGGATTACAGGCATACACCACCACTAATTTTGTATTTTTAGTAGAGATGGGGTTTCTCCATGTTGGTCAGGCTGATCTTGAACTCCCGACCTCAGGTGATCCACCTGCCTTGGCCTCCCAAAGTGCTGTGATTACAGGCATGAGCCACTGCGCCTGGCCAGCTCTACCATTTTTAACTGTGTAACTTTGAGGCGAGTGACCTGATTTCCTCAGTAGTCAACTTAGAATAATACTCTATTTCATCGAGTCTGAGATGTCACTGATTACAAGGCCCTTATAACTTTATATACTAGGAAAGAAAAAAAAATGCCATCAGTGAAACTATGACTTGCCAAGAATTTTTGTAAAGCCCATTTTGATTTCAGAGAGGTTAAAATGTGGAAAAAAGTGCATCAGAGAATTAATGAAATATAGTCATACCTGTCTAATAGGGTTGTTACATGGATTAAACAAGATCACATCTGTAAAGAACGTCCAACTATAAGTGGCTCAAAGTGCATGCTCAATAAGTTAGCTACTTCTATTAGTAGTATGAACCCACTCTGAAAAAAACAAAAAATCACATGACCACACATACAAGCAGACAAAATAATTTGAAAACATTAATAGTGACGATCTGGATGGTGGCACCATGGATAGGTGACTTAAACTTTCTTCGTGACTCCCTCAAGTTTTCGAACTTTTGCAAAAATTGTATATCACTTTAATCATAAGAGGGCATTCAGGTTATTTCTATCTTGAGGAAAAACTATCTGGAGACAAAGTGGACAGGTAGGCATTCCAGGCTATAAGAAATTGAGGCCAGGCATGGTGGCTTACGCGTGTAATTCCAGCACTTTGGGAGGCCGAGGCGGGGAAATCACAAGGTCAGGAGTAGGAGACCAGCCTGACCAACATGGTGAAACCCCCGTCTCTACTAAAAATACAAAAATTAGCTGGGCATGGTGATGCATGCCTGTAGTCCCAGCTACTCAGGAGGCTGAGGCAGAAGAATTGCTTGAACCAGGGAGGCGGGGGTTGTAGTGAGCGCAGAGCATACCACTGCACTCCAGCCTGGGCGAGAGAACAAGACTCTGTCTCAAAAAAAAAAAAAAAGAGGCTTGGCGCGGTGTCTCATGCCTGTAATCCTAACACTTTGGGAGGCCAAGGCAGGCAGATCACGAAGTCAAGAGATTGAGACTATCCTGGCCAACATGGTGAAACCCTGTCTCTACTAAAAATACAAAAATTAGCTGGGTGTTGTGGCGTGTGCCTATAGTTCCAGCTACTCGGAAGGCTGAGGCAGAAGAATCGCTTGAACCTGGGAGGCGGAGGTTGCAGTGAGCTGAGATAGTGCCGCTGCACTCCTGCCTGGCGACAGAGCAAGATTCCGTTGGGAGGCCGAGGCGGGCGGATCACGAGGTCAGGAGATTGAGACCATCCTGGCCAACACAGCGAAACCCCGTCTCCACTAAAAATACAAAAAATTAGCCAGGCGTGGTGGCATGCGCCTGTAATCCCAGCTACTCAGGAGGCTGAGGCAGGAGAATCGCTTGAACCCAGGAGGCGGAGTTTGCAGTGAGCCGAGATTGCACCATTGCACTCCAGCCTAGGCGACAGAGGAGACTCGATCTTAAAAAAAAAAAAGAAAAAGAAAGAAAGAAATCGATAAGCAGGCCAGGCAAGATGGCTCTCACCTGTAATCCCAGCACTTTGGGAGGCCGAGGCGGGTGGATTACCTGAGCTAAGGAGTTCGAGATCAGCCTGGGCAATATGGCGAAACCCCATCTCTACTAAAAATACAAAAATCAGCTGGGCGTGGTGGCATGTGCCTGTAATCTCAGCAACTCGGGAGGCTGAGGCAGGAGAATCACTTCAACCCAGGAGGCGGAAGTCGCAGTGAGCCGAGATCACGCCACTGCACTCCAGCCTAGGCAACAGAACGAGACTCTGTCTCAAAAAAAAAAAAAAAAAAAAAAAAGATAAGCAAAGCCTATTGCATATTGCATATGACCATGGAGGGGATAATGTAGAAATTAGTGAGACTGAAAAAGCTAATTCTGTTCTTCAATTTCCCTGCCAAATCACTGAGGCATGTTCTCTGTCAACACTGTTGTGAGCATGAATAAAATCCAGGGAAGTGGAAATTCTATATCAGATGAGACAATGTTTGCAAAATAGCCCTGGGCTGCTTTAGGAAAATGCTCCATAAATGCAGTTTCCTCCCCTCTTCCCCTTTCTTCAAATCATGAATGTAAATCTTTTAGATAAATTTCTGAAATAGGACACTGTCCTGAAAACCAATAAGTCCTTTCCAAGAAGAAAATGTCAAATGCAACTTACCTCTGCCATCACTTCAGATGCACGGCAGTTCTCTCCTCTTCTGGATTCCTAAAGAAAGATGTGGGAAAACACTAAGAAGCCGTAAGACAACAATCCCTCCCTGAACCTCTCGGGGGGCCAAACTCCTACCCCACCCCAGGCACTGAAAGGGAGACCAAAGAAGCTGCAACCCCACCGCCCTCTGTCATCCTCACAATGAAGTGCAGGTGACCTTAGCGGCCCAGACAGGAGTCCTGGGAGGGCCCCCCTAGACCGTAGCCTTCTTCCTCCCTAAGAGACTAACTTGGGAAACTTTCAGGCCTAGTGTCTTACACTGAACCCAAAAGTGTGTGGCGCCAAGACACAGCTTAAGTGGACCCACCTGTCAGGGTCTCAAACTCCTGTCCTTTAGGCTGGGGTCACCTTTATGGGCCTAGATCCCTGGTGGCTACTGGGTGAAAGAACAGAGAAGTGGATATAGCAGGAACTCTCTAACCCCAAACCCTAGAACCATTTCCACCCTCAACACACACTAGAGATAGACCCGCTGGCAGGAAGGCCATTCACAGAGATTCACTACCTACTTAGCAGTTGCAGTTGGAGTTTGGGTAGAAGGCCAGGACCCATCCACTGGGCCGACCCCGCCCAGCATATCCCCCAGAATGTATAGCGAGGGTGTCCCGCCCCCTCCCAGGCCTCCCAAAGATGGGGTCGACAACCCGGCACCATGGGGCTCGCCCGCGCACACGCTCACACTTACATGCTCAGCCACACAGAATCCCGTGCAGACAGGGCTCCCACCACAGCCCAGCGGGCACATCGAGCACAGATCGCCAAGCACCTGTTGCTGGGCGCACAATCCAGGTCCGGGGAGAACTGCAGTCTTTTAGTCCAGCCAAGAGGACGCAGGGCCGCGATACCCCAGACCTCCTAACATTCCCAGCCCGCTCCTGCGCCAGCCTCACACCACACTCACTCCTTGCAGTCGCGCGGCCCCACACTGCCCTCTCCCGACCTGGGGGCCAGTAGCCCTGACACTCTCCTCCCATCCCGACTGCACTGCCCCGACACTCCCTTCCTTCCCCATCGCACAGCCCTGAGCTCCCTTAGCGGTGAAGCCCGGGCATGCAGTCCGCACATCTCCGAGAGCCACATGACTTTTAAACTCCAGACAACCCCAGTCCCGCGCCGGGACGCCTCACCGCCCCCTTCGGCGTGCTAGCACTCAGCTCTGAACAAGTTCATCCCAACCCAAGGAGCTCCGCAGCCCGGGACGTTCCAGCCCTTTGCGTTCCAACCCCCTCCAGGTCACGCGGACTAGCCCCCTTCGGCCGGAAGTGGTTGGGCCGCGGGGCCCCCTGGGAAATGTAGTCCAGAGGTGGGTGCGCCACCAGGGGCCTGGACCGCACTACGGTCACTGGCACTCACCGTCATGTCCAGTTCCCCGCCTCCAGTGAAGCCAAGGCCAGACTGCCCAGACGCGCCAGAGCACCCTCCCAGGACCTGGGCAAATACACAGGCCCAGGCAGCAATAGGTGGCCGCTGACGGCTAGAAAAAGGCTGTGGGGCCGTGGAGGCTTCAGAAAAATGTAGCCGCAAACGCGGGAAGGGGCGGCCCGGCCCGCCGCTAGGGCTTCCAGAGTCGGCGAAGTTAACCCGGCTGCAGCCGCCCTTGCCCCAAACGGAGGGTCAGGGAGTGGGGTTTGTGTGTGTGCCCAGAGGCCTCTCAGAAGTGCAGTGAAAAGCCAGGGAGCAGACCACCCAGGGTTCCCTCCACAGGGAGCCGCGCTTTGGGGTGGATCAGAAGAGGGCGACTCCTGGCCATGCCACGAATTAGGAGTCGGCCCGGGCCTGGGGCTTCCATGACCTGGGCCACAATCCCGATAAAGACGGGTGGCTAAGTTTGGGCTGGGAATTCATTCCCCAGCCCAGGTCTTCTGGCATCTCAGCATTTAAGTCACTAATGTCTGCTCGGGCCGGGCCACAGGCTGGCCTGGAGGGCGTCAGGGAAACGACCTGGCCTAGCGGTTTGGGGATGTGGCCTAGGAAAGACTGAAGCGGGGCAGTCACAGGCTCAGGATGCCGAAGGGACTGGAGGAGGATGAGGGATACTTGGGTCTGCAGTGGAAATAAAAGAAAACCAATGTAATGGGCTGCAACGTCATTATTTTAGGATTAAGTTGCAGATGAATATTTAATGACAGAAGTACGTTCGAGAAATACTTTAGGACGTGGAAAAGTGTAACTAAAATAAACCATGTATACTATATTTTAAAATGTTACAGGCCTGGCGCGGTGGCTCATGCCTGTAATCCCAGCACTTTGGGAGGCCGAGGAGGGTGGATCACAAGGTCAAGAGATCGAGAGCATCCTGGCCAACATGGTGAAACCCTGTCTCTACTAAAAATACAAAAATTAGCCGGGTGTGGTGGCATGTACCTGTAGTCTCAGCTACTCAGGAGGCTGAAGCAGGAGAATAGCTTGAACCTGGGAGGCGGAGGTTGCAGTGAGCCGAGACTGTGCCACCGCACTCCAGCCTGGCGACAGAACGAGACTTAGTCTCAAAAAAAAAAAAAGAGTTATAAATAGGTTGGGTGCAGTGGTTCACGCCTGTAATCCCAGCACTTTGGGACGCCAAGGCGGGCAGATCACGAGGTCAGGAGATTGAGACCATCCTGGCCAACATGGTGAAACCTCGTCTCTCCTAAAAATATGAAAATTAAACCAGCGTGGTGGCGCACACCTGTAGTCCCAACTACTGGGGAGGTGCATTCCAGCCTGGCAATAGAACGAGACTACATAGGCACTTGGGCAATAATAGCTGTAAAGTTAATTGTTAACAGTAGTTAATTTCTAGGACGTGTAATTGTGACTTTTTTTCTTTTCAGTTAAAAAGTAGTCCCTTATATTTTTGGCCATTATAGTTTCTTTCTTGTGAAACATTACTTATAACATTTCATTAAAAAAAAATTCTTAAGGATTTCTAGTTTACAAACTAGAAAACAAAATACTGGACCAAAATTTAAAAATCCACAGTTTAGTACTAAAAGATAAACTAAACACAAGACTGATAAACAAGAGCAAAATAAAGCAAAAACATTAGAAATGCACAAAAAACAAAAAGCAAAACAAAACCAAAAAAAAACCATAGAGTTTAAAAGATTTTTTTTTTTTTGGAGACGGAGTTTTGCTCTTGTTGCCCAGGCTGGGGCGCAGTGATGCCATCTCAGCTCACTGCAACCTCTGCCTCCCAGGTTCAAGTGATTCTCCTGCTTCAGCCTCCCAAGTAACTGGGATTACAGGTGCCTGCCACCACAACTGACTGATTTTTGTATTTTTAGTAGAGACGAGGTTTCATCATGTTGGCCAGGCTGGTCTCAAACTCTCGACCTCAGGTGATCTGCCCCCCTTGGCCTCCCAAAGTGCTGGGATTACAGGAGTGAGCCACCGTGCCCAGTCCCGACTTTAAAAGAATTTTGAGGCTGTTATGTACAACTCTATAACCATGGTAAGGGAAATTGTAGATTTTCTAATGAAATTTAAATCACTGATTTCTACTAAGAAGTAGAAAATCTGAACAGTATTTAAGATACTTTAAAGTATGTACAATTGAAAAGGTACCATACCTAGGTGGTTGTAGCTGAATTTTAGCTAATTTTTGAACTAATATTATTCTATTTATATCTAATTTACATATGCTATCCAATGAATTTTTGTCTAAGTGGCATAAAATTTATTAAAGACATGGCTGGGCATGGTGGCTCATGCCTGTAATCTCAGCAGTTTGGGAGACCGAGGTGGGAGGATCACTTGAGGCTCGGAGTTTCAGACCAGCCTGGACAACATGGCAAAACCCCCTTTCTACAAAAATTAGCTGGGTGTGGTGGTGCACACCTGTATTTCCGGCTACTGGGGAGGCTGAGGCTGGAGGATCACTTGAACCCAGAGGCAGAGGTTGCAGTGAGCCAAGATTGCGCCACTGCACTCCAGCCTGGGCAACAGAACGAGACTGTCTCAAAAAAAAAAAAAAAAAAAAGAAAAAGAAAAAGAAAAGAAAAGAAATAAAGACAGGCCAAAAGAAGAGTATTATCATTTGTGGTTACTGACACAAAAGTTTCAAATAAAAGGCTGATTTCAATAATGTATAAAATGTATACAGTATGTCAAAGGATTGAGAGGAAAAAGAAATTCACGAATGATGCCAATAAGATGAAGTGGTAGAATAATGATCCAAGATGTTCAAATCCTAATCCCCAGAACCTGTGAATATATCTTACATGGCAAAAGAGGCTCTGCAGCAGATATGCTTCAACTAAGAATCTTGTGATGGAGGCTGGGCATCGTGGCTCATGCCTGTAATCCCAGCACTTTGGGAGACCGAGGCGGGCAGATCATTTGAGGTCAGGAGTTTGAGATCAGCCTGGACAACATGGTGAAACCCAGTCTCTACTAAAAATACAAAAATTAGCCAGGCATGATGGTGCGTGCCTGTAGTCCCAGGTACTTGGGAGGCTGAGGCAGGAGAATCACTTGAACCTGGGAGACAGAAGTTGCAGTGAGCCAAGATCACGCCACTGCACTCCAGCCTGGGTGGCAGACTGAGACTTGATCTCAAAAAAATAAAAATAAAAATAAAAAAGAATCTTGAGATGGAAAGATTATCCCGGACTACTGAACAGGCCGAACAAGGGTCCTTAAAAGAGGAAGGCAGAGGGGTCAGAGTCAGAGAGGAAATCATAACAACAAAAGGGAGGATGTGCTTTGAAGACAGAGGAAGGGGCCATAAGCAAAAGAATGCAGGCAGCTTCTAGAAGTTGGAAAAGACAAGGAAATAGATTCTCTCCTAGAACCTAGAGAAAGAAAACGATTGGCCGGGCGCGGTGGCTCAAGCCTGTAATCCCAGCACTTTGGGAGGCCGAGACGGGCGGATCACGAGGTCAGGAGATGGAGACCATCCTGGCTAACACGGTGAAACCCCGTCTCTACTAAAAATACAAGAAAATTAGCTGGGTGAGGTGGCGGGCGCCTGTAGTCCCAGCTACTCGGGAGGCTGAGGCAGGAGAATGGTGTGAACCCGGGGGGGCGGAGCTTGCAGTGAGCCGAGATCGCGCCACTGCACTCCAGCCTGGGGCACAGAGCAAGACTCCCTCTCAAAAAAAAAAAAAAAAAAAAAAAAAAAAAAGAATACGGTTTTATGACACCTGGATTTTAGACCACAGGACTCGTTTCTCACTTCTGACCTCAGTATCTGGATGAAGAAATCTTCCTTCAGCAGGAAGAGGTTGGAATGACCTGTCATTCATCAAAAAACCATATCCTTGATAAGTCTGTCCTTCCTTACTTGAGATATTTTCTTTCACTCTCTTCCAACTAGGATATAGAACTTTTGCATTCCTTCTCCCAAAGCTTCCTCTCTTATGGCAACGAATCAGAGAACTGGTTCTTTAGTTCTGTTCCAGTGGGGTCTTTGGGTACGTCCCCAATCACCTCAGTGCCTTCCCACTTTGTAGACACATTTATTTCATTGTTTATTTTGGAAAGTTTCAAATCTCCAGAAGCATTGAAAGAATACTACAAAGAACTCTTATTTGGGCCAGGCACGGTGGCTCACGCCTGTAATCCCAGCATTTTGGGAGGCCAAGGTGGGTGGATCAGGAGGTCAGGAGATGGAGACCATCTTGGCTAACACAGTGAAACCCCATCTCTACTAAAAATACAAAAACTTAGATGGACATGGTGGCACGTGCCTGTAATCCCACCTACTCAGGAGGCTGAGGCAGGAGAATTGCTTGAACCCAGGAGGCGGAGGATGCAGTGAGCCGAGATCCTGCCACTGCACTCCAGCCTGGGTGACAGAGCAAGCCTCTGTCTCAAAAAAAAACAATAACAAAAAAACCTCTTATTTGTGCTTGTCCCCTAGATTCACAAGTTGTCAACAATTTGCCACTTTTGATTCTCTACCATTTGAAAATAAATTCAAGTATCATTATACTTCCGTACAAATTTTTTTTTTTTTTTTTTTTTTTGAGGCAGGGTCTGGTTCTGTTGTCCAGGCTGGAGTGCAGTGGTGTGATCTCAGCTCACTGCAACCTCTGCCTCCTGGGTTCAAGCGATCCTTCCACCTCACCTCAATCAGTGTGCAGAATAGCTGGAACTACAGGTGCATGTCACCACACCCAGCCACTGCGCTCAGCTGAGTGTATCTTCTAAGGGCGTTTTCCTACCATATATCACTAAACAGTGTGTTTCACACATATGTCACTAAACACAATATCATACACACCACACAACACAGTGTCTCACGCTGACATCCCATGCATATCTAACCACATCATGATCACACTCAAGGAAATTAACAATAATTCCACAATTCATCCATATTTAGATGTCCCCAAAATGTCTTGTATGTATTTTTCTTTAAGCAGGACACAATCTAGGTTATTGCATTACATTCTTCTCTTAAGAATCTAGTCTACTTGTTCTACCAAATGTCTCACATTCTGGGTTTGTCGAGTTTTTCCTCATGATAAAATTTAGGTTAAACATATTTAGTAAGAATACTACATAGATGACTCCAGGATAACCACATAGATCACACAAATAGACACATGAAATTTGGTCATTTCACTATTAGCAATGCTAAATTTGATCACTTGGCTAAGGTGGTAATGGCCATGTCTCCATTGTTATTTTCCCCTTTTTAATTGGTAAGTAACCTGAGGGATGATAACTTCAGACCATATGAATCTCCTTTTTTCTAACAATCATATGCGTGTGTGTGTGTGTGTATATATATATATATATATTTTTTTTTTTTGAGACAGAGTCTCACTCTGTTGCCAAGCTGGAGTGCAGTGGCACGATCTTGGCTCACTGCAACCTCTGCCTACTGGGTTCAAGCGATTCTTGTGCCTCCCAAGTAGCTGGGACTACAGGCACCTGCCACCACGCCCGGCTAATTTTTGTATTTTTAGTAGAGACGGGGTTTCACCATGGTGGCCAGGATGGTCTCCATCTACTGACCTCGTGATCCACCTGCCTTGGCCTCCCAAAGTGCTGGGATTACAGGCGTGAGTCACTGCACCTGGCCCATATGCATATTTAATATAAGGTATATGTTACATTTTCATGTAAATTAATATGTGTTACTCTTTCATATAAATTTGTATTTTTCTTTCATATAAATATGAATAATGAAATTACATTTTCTATGTGTACTTTCTACTATGTGTGGATATTATGGTGTACAGCTGACACACATATATACATATTATTCTTCAGTGTTGGATAATTGATTCATGTTATATGCTTTGTAGGACATCTT